AGCTACAAGAGGCTCTATGGCGAGCGGGGCTGAAAAATCATTTCAACTATACACCAGGGATAAGTGGTGTGTATAGGTGAGTTACTTAATCGCCTGTTGAAATGTCAGCGCTATTCATCGGATAAATGACTATCTAGCGGATAAGTATTAGGGAAACCAATTGCGCAATTGACTGTACGGGATAGAGATTTATCCAGTAAATAGCGTTATCGACCTTTCGAACAACTGAGGCCAGGTGTAATACATGGAAATTCACAGCCAAATTTTGCAAACTTTTATGATATTATCATAAAATTTTGCAAAATTTGGCTTTATACATTATTAACGAAGTTTAGTATGAGACTTAACAGGCGTTATAATTTTCAGGTAATTAGCTCACATCACGGCTGCCTTAGAAGGAATGTTTCCTGGTAAAGCAGTCAGTTTCCTTCCCTTCTTCACTGTTATCACCATCTCACGACTTTTTCGTGAAATTGGATTACACTCGCAATTTGACGGACAACCTTAAATAATAAAAAAAAATGAAAAGTAATTCATTAATTACATTATCATTGTAAAAACATTGTAATTTGTTGTTGTTGTTGTTTTTTCATTTTCTTTTAAAGAGGCCGTAATAACATTTGTTCACCCCCGATGCAGTTTGTTGTGGTCGGCAGTGTATAGTACCCACTTTCTGTTTCGTTTTTTCTTTTTTTTTTTCGATATTGCATGTTTTTTTGTTTGTTTGTTTTCTCAGAGAGAGCTTTAAGTCCTAACATGCATATACTTTGAGGAAGGGAGGCGGGTTAAGGAAGAAGGAAAATTTTGCTACTTACCTTCGTATTGGAGACACGCTTCTTTATCAACGTCAGCTATATAAGAGAGACACATGCATATGTTCTAAATACAGTGTATTATTGTTTTAATGACTCTTATAAGAAATACTAGTGTTACTAGAACAGGTAACACTTCAGGCCTTGTGGTGCTGCAGTATAATAAGGCAACAGATAGCCCATTATTTGAATGTTTTATGGTTTTGCAATAGCCCAGGTACGATATATCAAAATTCTAACAGGACTCCGAGGCCTTCTTGTCACATTAAAATATTTGGTTTGGTACTAAAGTCTCTTCTGGGGATTGCGAGACCATGGAGTCAAGAAACATTTGCAATTTTGTTCCTAAAGCCTCGGAGTCATGTCAGAATTCTAATATATCGAACGTGGGCTATTCCGGAGAAATATTACGACATTGAAAATGACACCTCTCGTATGCCGGCCATCTTGGATGTAATTTATATTGTGGATTAATTCTGGGAATGTTATCAAACGTTTTGCCATTTTGATAGAATCTATCGTCTTCTTTAAAACATGTTCACACTGAGTTATATCGGGAACCGTGCATGTTTTCTTCAAAGTGACTTGACAGCCATATGCAAACGCCGACCGCTGATTACTAGCAGATAAGAGAACTGAAAAGATCTTCACGCGGTTAGCACTAGTTCTCACCCTAGTAGCTGAAGGCATGATGAATCACACTCAGTCACAGCCGTCTTAATGTAATTCCTCACCTGCATAGTGTAGTTTGAAACCTAATCCATTAATTTTGTCATTGCTCACGAAAGTAATCTCCATAACATTTGAAAATGATTCAATGAAGGGTGGAAATCTTTCTCCGCAATATTTTCCCATAAACGTTTTGGACTTAAGCCCACTATATATCTCTAGGAAGTCGTTAAAGCAGGAAGGATGGTCTTCTAATTGGAATTCCAGGAATCGCAGTTTTATGGTGTTTCCGCGAGGAACATTGATGGTCCACCGGCAACGCGTCAGCGCTGGATAATACCCAGGGTGGTGTGGGGATAAAATCATGCCTGACATTGTGGTAAAGCTTCTGCCGCATTCTGAAAAAGATAGTTAATTCATTCAATTCGGACCATACATATCTCCATGACTAGTGCATTTCAGTGTGAGTATTGTCAATGTTTTACATTCAAAAGATGCGATAAATTCAAACTAAAATGTACTAGTCATGGAGGTATGTATAGTGCGCATTTATTTGGAAAAATTAGCGTAACGTCAAAACAGGGAATGTTGTAACGTAGCTTTTTACAGGTTCTTAGGATAGGTTTGTCTTGAAATTTTAAGAAGTTGCAGTGAATCAACCTCAATGAAAGGTTCAGACATTATTATATACATTATGAAGATTGATGGGAAGAGATTTGAAAAAAATTCGTTGGAGTCGCTTCAGAGATTTTTCAAAATGCGCTAAAAGTCCAAATTTTGAATGAAGTTGCACTTTGACAGGTGGTGAGAAAACGGGTTAGATCGCAAGAGAATGAGAACGAAAATACACTAAAATTTC